AAGGAAAGAATACAGTGACATCTAGACGAAGGAAACCGGGTATTTTATCAGTTTTCTCAGAGTTACTATCACCAACAAATCATCATGCGCATGTTTCCAAACGTCTTCCAGCTTTCTGGTAAAAAAACAAAACAAAAACAAACAACTAAATCTAAATTTGTAAGTACTACATAACATCACACAGAACTTCCCTGAATTTAGCGGGGTGTGGGGGCGGAGTCTGAAGTGTATGGATACCTGTTGGACCAAACACCCGGACCCTCACCCTGCGATTCTGGTTGGAGTTTAGCTGTTTAGTCCCACTTCAACTCAAAAAAATCACATTGGTTTAACCCAGCAGTGCAGCGTCACCTCCTGATCCTCCTGAGCTCGCAGGGAAATGTCAGCATCCATTACCAGGTGCTAATGGTGCTAATGATGCTAATGAAGCTAACAGGTGTGAAAGAGCGAGAGCTGTTTGATTCTCAGCGCTAACAGCGAACAGAACGAGAGCAGGTGGAGGAGCGACTATTCAGCTCACAGCAGCCTATTAAAGAAACCGTATGTAATAAAGATTTCAAATTTCATCAAAGGGCCCATATTACACTTTTCTGATCTATGTTGTAATGTTTCCTCCTCACAAACAGACCTGGAGTTGTGTTTTGTTTCATTTGCACATGTTTGACACACAAATCCTGCAAATTTAGGCTGAGTTCTTCTCTCAAACGGAAAACGTGGTAATACAGAAAGTGTTTTTAATATTAATAATTAGTCTAAGTCACTTCATACTGCAGCCTGAAGTGACCCAAATCTGATTTTTTTTCATCTCTACGTTCCTGTATCAGATCTTTTAATGACAGTCTGAACGACACAGATCCGATTTTTTTTTCAAATGTGACCCAGGCCACTTGGATATGTGCTCCTAAAATCGATACATATCTGATCTCTTGACATGTGACTTCAGTCTGAACGGCCAGGTCGTCAAGATTCTGTGCAATGCTCCTCCCACAAGTCTGCATCACCCAAGCTCCCACATGACAATTCTATATAAATATACTAAAACATCATGCAGAACTGTACACAACAACTTGACAAACCTGATGCGATGTGCAGTAGTTTCATTAGCAGGATAGATATGCTGATTGTAATGTGAAAGTATGTAAATGTGTGTAATGGAATAAATGTAAGGTAGAGCTGTTTAACTAGCCTGATTCATCAGCAGTCTGACCTCACAGTGTTAGGATTCGTTTGCTTGACAGTAGGCGGGTAGTTTTTTTATTTACCGTATTTTCCTGGCTATTAGACACGCTCTTAAGCCTCCAACCCCATCAAAAAATGACTACATGCCACATCCCACAATCCAGAGCGCCCTATACACGTATCCAACTCAGGTGTCCCAGCACGACTTCAGTAAACTACAAAGCCGCACCACCCACAGCGCACGCAAACACGGACAGAGCAGACAGTGACCGCACAGCGAAACACACCCACAGCCACACTCATTACTCCACACGGACGAGGAATGGAACGGAGGAACGAACCGAAAAAGTGAGTCCAATGTGCCACTTCTAGACACAACTGAACAACTGAGTCACTGCGAACACGCCGACAATCCGTTGGTCCCAGACAGCACCTCCCTACACGCCACAACTGAACAAAGCCCAGAGTCACCGTGAACGCGCCAAACAAAGTCCCACTGACCCATCCAACTGTTGTGTTTCGTTTAAAGTCCGGTGCAGTTTATTTGTGAAAAAAGTTCGAAAATAGACCATTTAATGACAGCGTGCCTTAATCCAGAGCACCTAAGAGCCCGGAAAATACGGTAACCAATCGCTGCTATTTGGTCACGGTGTATGTAATGCACCACTAACGGGCCTAACTGGTATATTAAGATTTTCCCAAATTCAGTAGGAAGAAGGGCAAAAATGTCTTTCCCCTTGATAAAATTCGCCAAACATTCTCTTTATTCCGGCTTTAAATCCTCAATCTCGGGAATCGTTGCCAACACAGAATATATGGCTCTTCGCTGATTGGCTGGTGCCCGAACTCACACTTCCAAGGTTCTTGCAAATCATCTAGTGTATTCCGATTCCTGACCTAGTCACCGGAGAGAAATGAAATTGAGCGGAGGCACTAGGTGGCGCCATTCCAGGTAGAGCAGTGACAAATCCACCAGAAACAAGCAGCCCCAACAAAAACGTTACGCAGCGCACAAAATGTTCTGGTCAGAGTAGTTTTCAGAGCCCATACTTTTACTTCTACTTGAGTAATATTTTAATGAAGTAGCAGTACTCTTACATGAATAAAATTTGTGGTTCCTTTTCCCACTGTGAGTCTAAAGTGACAAAAGCTTTATTTATTCTCCTTCAGATATGATTTAGTTGTTCCAATTTGTGTTTGAAAATACCAGAGTTTGTGTATTTATTTAATGTTTTGTCCCTTCAATTACATAACTTCAAATTATAGGCTAAATCAGATGTCTTAGACATTTTTTTTTGTATAATTACAATGAGTTTCCCCAAACTTTTTACTAAAGTCATTTCTTGGACCACTGCTTCTTCTACTTCTTCTATATTATAACTTCAGTATTATTTTGAAGTAACAGTGAGTACATTATTTGGCTTCTCTACATTCAGGCGTTCAGCCATGTTTATCAGAACCTCCTGCTGTTTGCCAAAAATGTTGTTCAGGCTGGAACAAAACCTGAACGACAGACATAAATGATTGACAGTTTTTAAAATCACAATGTTGTAATTCTTTGCGCACAGACCCCAGCAGGAGGCCAGGAACACAAAAACAAAAATGCTAATATGTGACTCCATTTGAAGGTCATATATTACGCAAAACTGACTTTTGTGAGCGTTAAGTCATGTTTTAAACCTCAAAAACAGACCTAGAGTTGTGTTTGTTTCATTCACACATGTTTGAGTAACACTTTATTATTAGTCTGTCTACAATAGTGTAATATGAGCCCTTTAAAGAGACTCTACACTATTTAAATTTCATGTAATAAAGTGAAATGTGTCTTACTCGAGTAGATATATTGTATAAGCAGCTCTTAGGATCAAACTGCGACCTCTGTGTACTGTCTGTATCTAATTATAAAGCTTTTATATTGTCTGTAAACAAGGGTGACCAGATTTTCAAAATAAAAAACTGGGACACCCTTGGTTTGTGGAGGCTGGTAATAATAAAATGGTAAAACAAGTGTGTCATTAAGGAAAATTGAGTCAGTATAGTCACATTTTCTTGTAGCGTTTCTGTATTTTACCTAAAGAAATGACCATTTTTACCTCTATGTACTGTTGGCAGGGATCGGATTGGTCAAAAATAGGAACACATTGGACATTTCTTGTATAAAACTGGGACAAATCACTGGTTTTGGATGAATCTGCTGGTACAGAGGACACAGGGCTCAAAACTGTGACTGTCCCGGGTAAACAAAGACGTCTGGTCACTCTAACGATGGCAAAACTCCACTCTGGTGTTTGAAAGTTGTGAAATGTGCTCACAAACTCATCGTGATGAATAATTTGGATGCTCCGAATGCATAAGAAAAGTGAGGAATACTTTTTAGACCATTGCAAATATTTAAAAATGATCGTGAACGTTACATTTACTTGAGCAACTTTTTTTATGAAATTGTTCTTTCCAGCTGCATACTTTGACTCTTACTTGAGTAACATTTGAAGACACATTTATTGAAGTAGCAGTAGTCTTACTCGAGTAAAAGTTGTGCTTTCTCTTCCCACTGTGAGTAAATCTACAAAAGTGACAAAAGCTTTATGTGACAATATGAAATGATTTGAACATTTGTGTTTCTTGCAGCTCCTTCAGATACGATTTAGTTTGTCTCATTGTTGTGTCTGTCCTTTTCCTTTGACAATATCAGATTTTGTGACTTATTTAATGTTTTGTCCTTTCAATTACATTAACATCAAATCATAAATCATGAATCAATCTGACAGTTTACGTTATTTTCTAGGGAGCCCGCCTGATGACCTGAGCAAAAAAGATATTAAATTGTGGTTTCAAAATTACTATTTTGTTCCCACAATATGTAAATCGTTCCCACACTTTAGCTAAGTTCCCATGTTTTAGATTTTCTTGTTAATTTAGAGCCACAAACACCAAACCAAGAAAAACTACACCGTGTCATTAGTGGATTATAAATATATACACGCCGCAAGAGCCGAGCCGATCGCCATGATTACACCAGGACTACGCCAGAACTGGACCAGGATTAAACCAGAACTAAACCAGGACTGAACGTACGCTGTGCAATTAGCAGATTGACGGAGAAATAGTAATTTGAGGCCATGATTTACTTTTTTTTTGTAGTTTCCTCATCACAAACAGACCTGGAGTTGTGTTTCATTCACACATGTTTAACACACAAACCCTGAATATTTAGGCTTTAGGTTATTATCTCTAATCAAAAACTCTCTTTTCCACCTTGTGATGTCATGTGGTAATACAGGAAGTGCTCCACAGCGTTTTTAGACTCCATACACCTTCACTAGAATCATTTGGATCATTTCAGGAATTGCCAATCTCTACTGAACTAAAAGTAAAACAAACTGTTGACTTGAAAACTTCCACTTCATGACATCATATGGTGGAGCAGAGCAGTTTGGGCTTTGGAAACGTAAACAAACTAATAAAGCAGGATTATTCAAACATGTGTGAAGGAAACAAAACACAACTCCAGATTTTTTTTTTTTTTTTGAGGAGGTAACAACATTATAACATGGATTAAAGCTCACAACAGTCAATTTTGCATAATATCGGACCTTTAACTTCAAATTATAGTCGCTTATGTCTCTACAGTTACTCTTTAAGTTACTCTTCCCTTGTACTTGGACCACTACTTTGTACTTTTACTTAAGTTGAGTAATATTATTTTGAAGTAACACAACTCTCGGCTGCTCTACCACTTCTCTAAATGAACTAGTTGTTTTTTTCAAGTCACTAAAATCCCGCTGTTGCTTTCCTGACCGGAGATCGTGTTTGTGTTTCAGCTCCCCATCCTGGCCTCTTCGGTGGTCAGCCTGTACTTCCTGGAGCTGACGGACATCTTCGAGCCGGTGCATTCTGGGTACTCGTGCAGTGACCGCAGCCTGTCCCTGCCCTACGTGGAGCCCAAGCAGGAGGTGTGCCCGCTGCCCCTGCTCTTCAGCCTGGCCTTCGCCGCACCCACCGTCACCGTGAGTACCATCTGTGTATATGTCCACATGAATTTACATCACACTGTTTTCTGATCGATGTTATAATTTTGTTTCCTCATCACAAACCTGGAGTTGTGTTTTGTTTCATTCACACATGTTCAACACACAAAACCTCTAAATTTAAGCTGAGATCTTCTCCCAAACAGAATATGTAGCAGGGCTGGCATCACCTAGTGCCTCCGCTCAATTTCATTTCTCTCCAGCAACTAGGTCAGGAATCAGAATACACTTGACAGTTCGCAAAAACCCCCAAAGTGCGTGTTTGAACATCAGCCAATCAGTGAAGAGCCATATATTCTGTGTTGACAACGATTCCCAAGATCGAGGATTTAAAGCTTAATGTTCAGTTAATTTTATCGAGGGGAAAGACGTTATTGCCCTTCTTCCTACAGGATTTGGGAAAAAACTAATATACCAGTTAGCCCCGTTTGCGGTGCATTACATACGTCATGACCAAACAGCAGCGATTGTTTAAATGAAAAAAGTACCCACCTACCGTCGAGCGAACGAATTCTAATGCTGTGAGGTCTGACAGTTTTTACGAAGTGAAACGGGCTGATGAATCAAGTTAGCAATTTCGAGCCTCTCCTCACAGTTTACAGCTTTTTTTGTTGTTTTGTTGGTCACAGAGCAGAGATATGTCTGTACTCACCGCTAGGGGTGTCCAAAAATATCAAAAAACTATAGATATATTGTATATCGTTTATTGTGATGATACAGTATCGATATTGTGGGCTGCTGTATTGACATATTGCCAAGAGTATTTCTGGTATATTTTACAAAATTATTTTATTACAGCACTGCAGTTTTGTTGCTTGTTCAAAGGAAGGAAATTCGTTTATGTGACACATTTGACATTTTTACTGTTTCTATGAGTAAAATGTTTGTGTTTCATATGAACTTTGCACAAGAAATGGTTTAACAAAGACTTCTAGTATCACAGCCATGATTTAGCCATTTGATTTTATTGAACTGTATCAAATCAATTCGAAAGTGCACAGTATCGAGATATGTATCGTATCGTGGCCTATGTATCGAGATATGTATCATATCAGCAACTTCTTAATGATACCCAGCCCTACTCACCGCACACGTGCAGAATTTCTCATGTGTTTTCAGATGCGGCGTCTCGTTCCACTTCAGTAAACCCCAATCAAACACGCTCAGAGAAAATAATGGAGGCAGCAATTTTCCCACGCGTCAAAGCGTCCCTGTGTGCGTTGGCCTTTACTGATAACAACTATAATGCTGATTGATTCTTAATTACAAAAACATTTTACTTGATGACCAGTTTTTGTGTTATAAGTTGGAGTTTAGGTTCTGAAGACCAGAGGTGGAAAAAGTACTGAAAAATTGTAATTAAGTCAAAGTATCTCTACTTTGCTTAATTCCTACTCAAGTAAAAGTAAAAGTAACCATCTGAAAATCTACTCAAGTAAAAGTAAAAATCTATAAATCTACTTAAGTAAATGTAAAATTCTAAAAATCTACTCAAGTAAAGGTAAAAAAGTACTTCATTTAAAATGTAATTTGAGTAAAAGTTACTTAGTTACTTTGAATTATTTGATTGAGTATTTGATCCTTGTAAAGAAGGATGAGTCATAAATCTAATCCAGCACAAATTGTTTTAATCAACTTTTAGGTGCTACAGTGCAAACTTTGTACATTTTAAAGACAACTGAGCTTAACACTTATTAAGACTGAGCTCTTCCTTCTTTTTATAGAACTTTAAAAAACTTGGAACTTTAACTGCAAAACAAATTTAACAAATAATAATAATAATAATAATAATAAAATAACAATTTAACAAATTTCTAATTATATGGTCCAACTCACAACACTACTATAAAAAAGAAGAAGATAATTAAACCAAAATCACAGTATGCAAAACGATGCCCAGATGCACACTGACTGCTGATACAAGAAATGAAAAAGTACCATGCCATGACGACCTCTGTCTCTGGCTCGGTACCAGCCGTCATCCAAGTTGAGCCAAGATAGACTGAAGGTTCTGTACAACGACAGTGTTCAGTCAATCAGATTTTACACAGTAACGAGGATGGGCTCCAATGTAATGAAGTAAAATACTTGGGTCAAAATGTACTCAAGTAAAAGTAAAATTACCTATTTCAAAAACTACTTAAAAAATTACAAATTAGTCATAAAAACTACTCAGTTACAGTAACATGAGTAAATGTAATTCATTACTTTCCACCCTTCCTCAGGACAATTATACAATCACAACGCAGAACGAGCGTCACATCAGTGTTAAAACCTAAAGGCTGTCTCATATCATCTAAATCCTCGCTACCTAAACCCAGCGCCTGCAGCCAGTCGTGAATCAGAGCTTTTCTAAGATTTCACATGAGCCATAGCCTATTCATATACCAGGAATGAGACAAACTTGTGTGCCATCCATATTAAACTGACATGACCAATTTTGCCTTTAAGCTTCTTTGTACCAGAATGTGAAACATGTCGACAGCTGACCTCTCTCTGTGTGTGTGTGTTGTGTGTTGGTTTGTGCAGATCCTGATCGGAGAGGCCATCTTGTACTGTTACCTGTCCCGAAGGTCCTCCTCCGCTCACACTGAGGCCAACATCAACGCTGCGGGCTGCAACTTCAACTCTTACATCCGACGAGCTGTGCGCTTCATCGGTGAGAACACTGAAGTCACACTCACACACACTCACACTCTCTCTCTTTCACACACACAATGTACCACAACTTTATTAATAAATAAAACTCATTATACAATAAAAGAAGAAGTAAATATTTTGTTATTTTAGCCACATTGCTTGCAGATAACACTATTATCAGATTGAAAGCATTAAAATGGCGACAAATGCAGCAAAATCTCTTTAAGAAGGGGATTAGGAACGTAATTAGCCTATCATCCCAAAATGTTTCAGCCTGTGTATTTATTTATTTAGGCTAATTATCAGCCTAAATAGCTCAATAACAGATGATTCACTCAGCTTTCATTATTCACATGTTTTAATACCTGTGACACATAAAAACATTTCTCCCTCTGGAGCCTGTTCCCTGTGAGCAGGACACTTGGCTCTGCTTCGGAGTCTGGACGACGGTTAAAAGCAACTTTGAAGCAGCTTCCAACAGCATTTGACAATATACTGACAATATCTTCATATCATGTTATCAAAACAAACACTTTTGGATACTGGGCTAAATTTACTGCTGTGAACGAGTCCGGTTCTTGCCAATGTGTTCATAACTAATGCTGATTCAACAACAGCCAAAGACACAAAACCAATGTCTTCACTGCGTTCTTCCACATCCTGAGCAATAGCAAAGGAGAAATTTGTCCAGTTGACAGATTGAATTTCTCCTTTGCCATGGATTCTACTTGGACCACTGAGGGATTCTATGCACAACCTGAGCAATAGTCACACTTCTGAAATCACAGTTTAGATGTTTGAGTCAAGTTGAACGTGTTATTTAGGGTGGCCAAACGTCCGTTTTCCCCGGACATGTCTGTTTCCACATCCTGTCCTGGTCGTCCGGGCTTTTTTTAATAAAGTGATGCAAATGTCTGGGGTTTCATTACCTTTCATTGTGCACTCAGAAGGAGCGAGCAGACACAAACAGTCGGTCAGCCTGCAACATGCCGAAGCGCAAATACACATTTAACGATGACTTGTACAAGAAATTCCCCGCTTTCCCTCCCGGTCGAGACAAGTGGGAGGCCATGTGCACAATGTACAAAGCAGGCTCATATGTTTCGGTGTCCAGTGGCGATGCCAGGGACATCAAAGCTCACCAGAACACCGAAAAACATTCAAAAGCTTTCCCAGGTGAGAGTAACTCAACGTCAATGATGAGGCCCCACCTCCCACCCCCGTACGGTGTCCTGGTTTTGACAAATGGAAATACGGTCACCCTAGTGTTATTCATTCAAATAAAAAAATATACATGTCTCCGAGACCATGCCATGTGAAAGAGAGAGGCATATGGGATTTATTTTAGTTGTACGATCCAGCAACCCAAAGTGTGATAACATATTCTAAATTGGATATCAAAGGTGCTATATCACTCGTGAACTTTAAGACATGTTAGAATGTTGTTCAAATGTTCAAAAACATACCTGGAGTTGTGTTTTGGTTCATGGATTATTAGGCTGTTTGCTTCCACAAAACTCAAAATGCTCTTGTGATGTCGTGTAGAGGTGGTTTTTAAATCAACAACTACTTTTACTTTCAGTTCAGTAGAGATTTGCAGTTCCAGGGCTGAAATTATCCAAATGATTCTAGTAAAGGTGTATGGAGTCCAAAAACACAATGGAGCATTTCATCACATCAGATCTTTGAGAGAAGAACTCAGCCTAAATATGCAGGGTTTGTGTGTTAAACATGTGAATGAAACAAATCATATCACCAAAAGTCTCAAAATAATATCAAGAGCTGTCACATTGGAGGGTGTCCCAAAAAATCTGACATAATTTTAAATGCAATTATCTTGAAAACTAGTAAGGCTTCATTCAGACTGCAGCCTAAACTGACCTGTATCCCTTTTTTTCTCATTTTTTCATGACAGTCTGAACGACACAGATATGATTTTTTCAAATGCGGTCCACGCCACTTGGATATGTGCTCCTAAAATCAATACATATCCGATTTTTTGACATGTGACTTTACTCTGAATGGCCAGGTCCCATTCATCCCACCTACATGTCACAAATGTACACAAATGTTCTTCTTGTCATATGAAAATTGTATCTGAACTCTGTGTGAGTGAAGCAGTGAAGCACAGAGCAATCCCACCACTCTTGGCTCTGACTCTGCACCCACACATTCCTTTCTTCTCCTTCTCAATCTCTTCCTTAAAACAAATAATCTGTACATGTTCTGGCTCCGGTACGACAGCAACTTTAAAATCTCCAGGTGCTCAATGCCAGCACTCATGTTTAGGCGACTTCCATAAACACTGAGCACACCTGCTGCGTGTGACGTTGTTGTGTCCTCCAGTGCACATGCGGGACACTTTTGGAGCATTTAAAGTTCACACTACAGTCACATTTAATTGGAAATGTGAACGATCTCGAAAAAAAATAAATAAAAAATCAGATTTCACCAAATTGAGCATTAAGCCCTGCAGTCTTAATTTAACCTAAGTCTAGCTCAATGATGATGTTGATGTTGGTCTACCAGATCCTTTAATCCTGTATAAGCAGCCTTTCTCTTAAATTTTTTGGTACCAAGTCCAAATTTGTTTACCTGTTGGTGCAGTTTTTCCAAATTTTGCATTGAAGCTGCACAGTCACACTTGTGTGACTGTGTGCGAGCAGATTCTAAAACGCAAAATGACTTCTCTTTCAGAGTGAATGGCTCAACCTGAAAACAGAATAAAAATAAAACAACAAATATGACATTTTAATCTGTTTCTATTAGGCATGTAACAACAACCGAAATATCGTGATATCGTATTGTCAAAATTCTCACAATAATATCGTGGACCATCACAATATATCGAATTACAAGTCTCTTTGCTTAAATTAAGAGTTATGGTGCAGTAATAGCTAAAAAATAACTACATAGACCATGATCCTTTGTAGACTACATGAAGAAATAACAGATTTAAGCACTTTTAAGTCTTAGTTCTTTGGATTAAGTCTTGTCAAGGCATTTTAAGAGGAAAAAAATAGCATATTAGCCTCCACAAAATATCACAATAAATATCGTACTGTGAGGGTCATACTGTGACAATATCATATCGTGAGACTTGGATATCGTTACACCCCTATTTTCTATACATTCTCTAAAAAAATTTTGGTTGTTTCAACAAGAATTGAAAAAAAATATTGTCCTGCAAAATGTTTCAATAGTTTAGCAACAGCTATAGTAGCAACAGATAATAAATATAAGGAACTACATTTCCCATGATTCATTTCAACGCAGACAACATGAAGAAATATGTTTTTTTCTTTAATTCTTGGGATTATGACAGTAATGATTCTCACAAAAGTTGTGTCAAGGAAAAAATAGCCTATCTACAATAATATTTGCCTCTCCAAAATATCGCAATAAATATCATGATAATATCGTACTGTGAGATTTGGATATCGTTACATCCCTAATTTAAACATAGACCAGAAAACAGAGTAAAATGGGCTCTTTACTTTAATCTTCTGCCGCTTATTCCACAAAGTGAGACTGATGGGATTGTCTTTTCTCTGCTCAGGCGTGCACATCTTCGGCCTGTGTGTGACGGCTCTGATCACGGACATCCTGCAGCTCTCCACAGGACTGCATGCCCCCTACTGGCTGGAGGTGTGCAAGCCCAACCTGACCCAGCTGAACATGAGCAGCTGCGAGGAGGGCTTCATCCTGGAGGACATCTGCTCGGGACAGGACCAGGGGCTCATCACCGCGGGGAGGTACGCCAGTCACACACGGACAGAAAATATATGGGACAAAAGTGGGTTTTCGTGGGTTTGCTGTAGCTGAATGTTTTGTTTCTCGGTCTTAGTTTAGTCCTGGCTTAGTACTGTTTTAGTCCTGGTTAATTAATATGTGTTCTGTGTTAAAAGATGCTTGTGAATGGTAATGTTTGGTTTAGGCCTGGTTTAGTCCTGGTTATGTCCTGGTTAAATCCTGGTTTAGACCTGTGTATAGTCCTAGTTTAGTCCTATACACAGGACCTGGTTTAGATCTCACGGAAGCCCTGGTTTAGACCTGTTTAACCCTAGTTTAGACCTGGTTTAGTCCCAGTTTAGTCCTAGTTTATACATGTATACAATCCAGAGTCTGCCTGGTTTGGTTCCAATTTAAACCAGGTTAAGTCCTAGTTTATCCCTGTATACAAACCAGACTCTCTCCTAGTTTATTCCTGGTTTAGACCTGGTTAAGTCCTAGTTTATCCCTGTATACAATCCTTACTCTGTCCTGGTTTAGTCCTCGTTTAGTCATGGTTTAGACCTGGTTTAGACCTGGTTAAGTCCTGGTTCATCCCTCTTCACAATCCTGACTCTGCCTAGTCTAGTCCTGGTTGAATCCCGGTTTAGATCTGGTTAAGTCCTAGTTTATTCCTGTATACAATCCTGACTCAGTCCTGGTTTAGGCTTAGCTCAGCCCTGGCTCAGTTCTGGCTCAGATCTGGCTCTGTCCTGGCTCAGTCCTGGCTCAGCCCTGGCTCTGTCCTGGCTCAGTCCTGGCTCAGTCCTGGCTCAGATCTGGCTCAGTCCTGGTTCAGTCCTGGCTCAGTTCTGTTCCAGTCCTGGTTCAAACCTGGCTCAGACCTGGCTCAGACCTGGCCCAGCCCTGGCTCAGTCCTGGTTCAGCCCTGGCTCAGTCCTGGCTCAGTCCTGGCTCAGTCCTGGCCCAGCCCTGGTCCAGCCCTGGTCCAGCTCTGATCCAGCCCTGGCTCAGACCTGGCTCAGATCTGGCTCAGCCCTTGTTCAGTCCTGGCTCAGTCCTGGTTCAGCCCTGGTTCAGTCCTGGCTCAGTCCTGGTTCAGTCCTGGCTCAGTCCTGGTTCAGTCCTAGCTCAGCCCTGGCCCAGCCCTGGTCCAGTCCTGGTTCAGTCCTGGTTCATTCCCTTGTATCCGGTGGATGCGTGTGGGTGGTAATGTCTAGTTTGAACACTGCGGTGGTAATTCTGTGTGGTTGTCATAGAAACGCAGAGCTGAATAAGAGGCCTTGTAGTCGCTGCCCGCTGAGGTCGCACACACACAAACACACACACAAACGCACAAACACACACACAGAAACACAAAAACACACTCACACTCAACATGGCCGCCCCTAGAAAGTCTCTATTCAAACAAAACACTAAGGATGAAAACACAACATTACAGATTTCATAACAGATTTTACTGTCTAGACTTACAGCTACAAAATAATCAGAATTATACACAATAATATTGAAACGACTTTACACCACTGACACAATAACCCCAGAAAATAGAATAATACCAGTGAAACATATTGTAAATCGTAAATTGTAAATGATTGTAAGTGTAAATCGAAGCTTCAGAGTGAAATCGTATCTCTGTGTTGGAATGCATTATGATTTGAAAGTAGGGATGTAACAATAACCGAAATATCGTGATATCTTATCATCAAAGTTCTCACAATAATATTGTAGACCATCACAATATATCGAATTACAAGTGTCTTTGCTTAAATTAAGAGTTATGGTGCAGCAATAGCTAAAAAAGACAGAGGGAACTACATAGACCATGATCCTTTGCTCCATTTCAGTGCAGTCTACAAGAAGAAATAACAGTTCTAAGCACTTTTAAGTCGTAGTTCTTTGGATTAAGTCTTGTCAAGGCATTTTAAGAGGAAAAAGAAGCATATTCACAGTTTTGTTTGTTTGCCTCCACAAAATATCGCAATAAATATCATACCATGAGATGTATATCATGACAATATCGTACTGAGAGATTTTGGATATTTTACCGTGAGCTTCATACCGTGACAATATTTTATCATGAGACTTGGATATCATTACACCCCTATTTGAAAGCTATAGAGGTCAGGAATGAATTATGCTTTAAATTTAGTTTGTTTTAATTTATGTTTTGTCTCTTATGCAGTAAGTCGTAAATCAGACATGTCAAACTCAGACCCGGGGGAAAAATTTGGCCGGCGATATAATTATTGGCCCGTGAGATCATATCAAATATGTATTAGAGCTGGCCTGCTGGCCAGATAGACTATAGAGAGATTATTTATTTAAAATGTTGTTATTATTTTATATTAGGCTTGCTCTGGATTCAATGTTTAAGCAAAACTATTATTAAACATTTATTTTAATAAGAAAAGGTTTAACATTACATATCTCGAAAGAAGAGAAAACGTGCATGAGCCAAACATAAATATTTAGTTTGGCCCATGACTTAATCCCAGTTTTTAATTTTGTCCCTCTATGAATTTGAGTTTGACACCCCTGTCATAAATGAAATTGTAAATGTAAACTTCCTGTTCATACGATGCCTTTCTTTCTTGGAATTCTGTCTCTGTTTAAAAGGTTTTGGCATTATAAGTACTTTTTACTTCAGCCTAAACCCTTTTCAGTCATGATCCATGGTGTTGTAGTTTATGTTTTGTTTTGTAGTGCTGCAAAATAACCGGGAAAAAAAAGAAAAATAGACAAAATAGATTTAAACAGCACATTTTCAGGAGCCTGTGATCAACACGAGCGTTCATGGTCCTGTTTAGGAGTTTGATTTTCAACAACAACAACACAAAAAACATAATATGAATTCCTATTCTTAATTCTACTCCAAATTCACTTCTATAAATGCCAGCCTCGGTGAGCTTCATTTGACTGGAGCCAAACACTATGCGTGACGTCACACTCCAAATTCAGATCCTCTTTATTTCTACAGCACATTTTACAAACAAAGCAGTTTCCAAAGTGCTGCTGCACAGAGATCAATAAAATTAAGACAACAAAAAGATGAATTGCTAAAATTTGATCATACCAGTCCTAAAACAACAAAACCAGTAAAATTAAATAAAAGTAAAACCATACAAATCATAAAATAGCAGTAAATAAGTAAATCCAGAGCTCCCTTTATCCACTTCTTTATACTGTAAATAGTCTGCCCTGACACTGAATCTGATGACTCTATCTGTTGAGCTGCTCTGAGATTTTTGTTCGAGCTTTTCTGAGGTTTCTTAACCAGGGTTTGTGTGCAGGATTCTGGAGAGGGGTCCCTGGGGCCTGTTTCAGTCAAACCTGGGTCAAATGCAGATGACACTTTCCCTTATGGGGCAGTAACACTCAGTTTATTTGACCTGGATAGAATCAGAACCCAGGAGAAAGGGCGTAACTATTCCTTACATGTCTGGTGTTTCTGAAAAACTTTTCAGACAACATGAAATCCCAGACTATTTGAAACCTACAAAAACAAAGCCACAAACAAAGCAATGTAGTCTACTGCATTCATTGTAGTAAAGACGGCAGTGAGCGCTATAGTGGAGAAACGAAACAGTCACTTCATAAGAGGATGTACAGACATAGACGAGAGAGCAACACAGGACCTCAGTCTAATGTCCATCTCCACCTCAAAGCCACGGGCCACTCTTTTAAGCACAATGAGGTACAGATCTGAGCCAGAGAAAAGAATTGGTTTGAGAGGGGAGTTAAAGAGTCTATTTTTGTTAAGAAAGACAACCCTTCCTTGAACAGAAATGTACAAATCCTATTTACAACTCCATCCTCAAACCTAAAACAAAGAGAACAATAGGGGTAGCCAGGCCAGGTCTAGAGGTGTGAAAGCACTTGTTTTGGGACTGAATAATTATACTAATATGACCCCTCACTCAGGCAGTTGGATAGTCCGAGCTAACAAACAGAAACTGTAAATATGTAGGGTGTTAGGTTCAGAGTAGTTTCAGTGCAGTTAGATCCAGATATAAGGCAGAGTCGAAGAGCAAGGGAAAGGGAAACATTTTTGACCTAAATAAACGTTTGTCCAGTTGACAAATTGGATTTCTCCTTTGCGATTTGACCTGGATGTTTGGTCATAATGTGTGATGAGCCTCTGTGCCAGTGACATTTATGAAACAGCGTGTTCAGAGAGTGCGTTCTTCCCTGGATCAGAGAGTGTGTTTCAGTGAATATGAGAGTGCATTAGTCCTGAGTGGAGCCATGTTGTGAGTGTTCTCTCTGGTCCTGTCCTCAGCTCATTATCAGCCTCCCACCACTTTCACAGCTCCAATCTGTCACTCCACCAGCCCCAGGCCCTCTCTACTGCCCCCTACAAGCCTACTCTGTCACTCCACCAGCCCCAGACCCTCTCTACTGCCCCCTACAAGCCTACTCTGTCACTCCACCAGCCCCAGACCCTCTCTACTGCCCCTACAAGGCCTTATACTGTCACTCCACCAGCCCCAGGCCCTCTCTACTGCCCCCTACAGGCTTACACTGTCACTCTAACAACCCAGGCCCTTTCTACTGCCCTCTGTCTCCACTGTCAATTGGTTGTTTTTTTGTTTTGTTTTGTTGTTTTTTTTTCCTAAAAATGGGCTATGGTTAAGGTACAAATTATCATCCCTGTAGGTCCCTTGGGGCACACCATCAGAAGCAGTGGGTCCCATCTCCAGATCTTGACCTAGTCTTGTCAGGAAGAACTGGAACTGTAGGATTTGACCTGTTGTGCATGTGTTCAGTTGTAGCCATAGTTTAAATGCCTCTAGAGCAGGACCATGGATCTATAATAAAAACTGGATAAGGTGGTCCCCCTCTGTCCTAGCTTGAGACTGACTAGTGGCCGCTCTAGGTACTTGCAGCTCTGGGGAGCTTGGGCCTAGAATGAAGGCTCAAGAGCAATGAAGGCCCTATTCAAACTGCCCATTTTCATCTGACAGGGCATCCACAACTTCCACAAAGGTCGGATTTGGCAGGGATTCTTGTCTATTTTCCC